CACTTCGTCTGCTTTCTCAGTTTGTTTGATTGTCCGCTTGTACTAATGCATAAAATAAATTTATGTCAGTCACCCATTTTCGAGCATTTAATATCTCTTCTGACAGTTCAGTCGGGAGAATGGATGAGACGTAAACTTACTTACTTACTTACGCCTGTTACCCTCAATGGAGCATAGGCCGCCCACCAGTTTTCTCCAGCCAACTCTGTCCTGGGCTTCCCTCTCCAGTTCTGTCCAATGTTTGTTCATTCCTCTGATATCTTTCTCCATTTCTCGGCGTAATGTATTCTTTGGCCTTCCTCTTTTCCTTTTGCCTTGAGGGTACCATGTAAGGGCTTGTCTCGTGACGCAGTGAGGTGCTTTTCGTAGTGTGTGTCCTATCCACTTCCACCACTTCTTCCTGATTTCCTCATCCACTCGAATCTGGTTCATTCCCTCCCACAGTTCGTTGTTGCTGATGGTGTCCGGCCAACGAATACGAAGTATTTTGCGTAGACAACTGTTAATAAACACTTGTATCTTCTGAATGATGGCTTTGGTAGTTCTCCATGTTTCCGCTCCATACAGTAGAACTGTCTTGACATTTGTATTGAAAATCCTGATTTTGGTTTTGGTTGAAAGTTGTTTGGAGTTCCAGATATTTTTCAACTGTAGAAATGCAGCCCTCGCTTTGCCGATCCGTGCCCTCACATCTGTATCGGATCCACCTTTCTCGTCGATGATGCTGCCAAGATATGTAAAGGTGTTAACGTCCTCCAAGGCATCTCCATCAAGCGTGATTTGGTTGGTGTATGTTGTGTTGCATCGGAGAATTTTGCTTTTTCCTTTATGTATGTTGAGACCTACTGCTGCAGAGGCTGCTGCTACACTGGTCGTCTTCTCTTGCATTTGTTGTTGAGTGTGCGATAGAAGAGCCAAGTCATCCGCGAAGTCCAGATCGTCCAGCTGCGTGCTAACTGTCCACTTGATACCGTGCTTCCCTCCAGATGTTGACGTTTTCATAATCCAGTCGATCACCAGGAGAAAGAGAAAGGGTGAGAGTAAGCAACCTTGCCTGACACCGGTCTTCACCTCAAAAGAGTCAGTTAGCTGTCCATCGTGTACGATTTTGCAGTTGAATCCATCATAAGAATTCCATATGATGTTGACTATTTTCTCAGGCACACCGTAGTGTCGAAGAAGCCTCCACAGTGTTTTCCTATCCACGCTATCGAATGTCTTCTCGTAGTCGATGAAGTTGATGTAGAGTGGTGAGTTGCATTCAATTGATTGTTCCACAATGATCCGTAATGTAGCAATTCGGTCAGTACATGATCGATCCTTACGAAATACGGCCTGTTGATCTCGAAGTTGGGAGTCTATGAAGTTCTTCATTCTGTTTAACAATACTCTGTTGAAGAATTTGCCTGGTATTGAAAGAAGAGTGATGCCTCCGTAGTTCTCACACTTGCTCAGATCGCCTTTCTTTGGTATTTTGATGAGGTATCCTTCTTTCCAATCTGATGGTACTTGTTCCTCATCCCAAATCTTCTTGAAGAGGATGTGAAGTATTTTCACAGTTGCTTCTACATCTGCTTTCATTGCCTCTGCTGGAATGTTGTCTGGTCCTGCTGCTTTGCCGCTCTTGATTTGTCTGATGGCCATACTGATCTCCTCAATCGTAGGTGCGCCAATATTAATTGGGAGGTCCTTGGATGCTGCTTCGATGTTGGGTGGGTTCAGTGGAGCTGGTCGATTCAATAGTTCCTTAAAGTGCTCCACCCACCTATTTCGCTGTTGTTCAGTGTTGTTGATTACTTTGCCTTCCTTACTTTTCACTGTTCGTTCTGGTTTACGATAGTTTCCGGCGAGCTTCTTTGTTGTTTCGTACAATTGTCTCAAGTTTCCTTCTCTTGCAGCCTTTTCCGCCGTCATTGCTAGATCTTCCACATATTTTCGTTTGTCAGCTCTGATGCTCTTCTTCACTTCCCTGTTTGCTTCTGTGTATGCAGCTTGTGCGGTAGCTTTCTCCGCTCTTGTTCGGCTGACATTGATTGCTGCCTTCTTGTTCCTCCTTTCTTGAATTTTTTCAAGAGTATCAACAGAGATCCATTCCTTATGACGGTACTTCTTGTGACCCAGAACTTCGTGACATTTTGAAGTGACTGTCTCCTTAATCCCTTGTTCTCCAATGTTTCTTCCTCTCCATTGTGTAGATCCTGAAAGGCCTGGAACCTATTGCTGAGGGCTACCCTGAATTCGTTGAGTTTCACGGTATCCCGAAGAAAAAAGGCCGTATTAAACTTGTGTGATGTTGTCTGTCCCGTTGTCCAGTGCTTCTTTAGTTTCAGTTTCATTTTGGCGATTAGCAAATGGTGATCTGAGGCTACATCAGCTCCTCTCCTGGTTCTCACATCCTCCATAGTCCTTCTGAACGTTTTGTTGATACAGATATGATCAATCTGGTTTTGAGTAGTGTGATCCGGTGAAATCCATGTAGCTTTGTGTATGCGTTTGTGCGGGAATATTGTGCCACCGATGGCCAGTTTGTTGAAGGCACATAGGTTTGCAAATCTCTCACCGTTTTCGTTCCTTTCTTCCAGTCCATGTCGTCCCATGATGTCTTCATATCCAGTGTTGTCCATTCCAACCTTGGCATTCAGGTCTCCCATAAGAATCGTCAAATCCTTTGGTGAACATTTCTTGACGATTGACTGCAGCCTTTCGTAGAATTGATCTTTAACGTCGTCATTGTAGTCATTGGTAGGTGCATAACATTGGATGACGTTCATTGTAATGTCCTCTTTCTTTGTTTTGAAGGATGCTTTAATGATCCTGGGTCCATGAGATTCCCATCCTATTAGTGCCTTTTGTGCATGTTTGGACAGCATCAGTGCAACTCCTTGTGTATGTGAAGCATTTTCCTCTTCATGACCAGAGTATAACAGCAGTTTCCCTGAAGCTAGTCTCAGTTGTCCTACCTGTGTCCAATGCGTTTCACTGATGCCGAGCACCTCCAGGTTGTATGTTTTCATTTCTGCCGCAACTTGAAATAGTCTTCCAGTCTCCCACAATGTACGAACGTTCCATGTACCTAAAAAAAATGGTTGTTCTGGTTGTCAGAAGAGGCATCAGCCCCTTGACTTCCGAGGGAACTTGGCTTTCATCACGCGACGTCATAATTCTTCCTCCAACTCCCAGGGCAGAGTTAAAATGGTTTGAATTATTTTTTCTGGTTAGCGTTTTTTGGCAAGTGAGATTTCAACGGAATGGGGTCGCCAACCCCATGTCCAACCCTCCTCCTTTACCCGGGCTTGGGACCAGCAGTAGCCCCGAAGGTTCTACTGGCGGAGTTATGAGACGTAAAGCAGAGCCTTAAATTCAACGTTGCTAATGAAACGGAATCAGATTCGGTAACCATACCATCAGTTTATAAAATCAAACCAAGAAACAGTTTGAGCTCACTTTCGACTGTTTAAGTGACAGGTAAATAAGTGATTCCTGTAGTAGTCATTAGTCATATGTTAAGGTACTATTTAAATACCACATGAAATATAAAGACTGATGCGATTTCGACTCGATTCTTTGATAAGAATTAAAATAAACTGAAATAAATAGACTGGAATAGGAGAACAAAGGTCGCTCATCGTTTGAGGCGTTTAACGCTAGACAAATTAAGCTCCCATTCTATTACTTCTTTTTATCTATCCAACCTGAATAAGCATCGACCTTAAAAGCTGGTCTATTTGTCGTTGACTTCTACGCGTTTTCATGTTTTAACAAGCCTAACGATTCTTTATTCGACGTGCGTGTATAGATTCCCATTTTTTTGGCCAATACCTCACGTAGCCTTGCACTTGTAGGGTATCAAAGGTGATGACCACATCAGTGGAGTTTATGTACGGTGATTAAAGGGCTAGAGTCCAACTGAACTGGTCAGAATTGCTTGGCCAATCTAAATTCTGTCGAACGAATGAAGACTCTCAGTGTGAATGTGCGAACACTTCAGTTGTCCAGAACCAAAGACTGACACAACAGAGATGCTAAAGCTGTGGCACGCAACTGCTGTCATAATATCCAGGATTCGACTTAACACTGTAGCTTCAGACTCCATCCTACTCCTTCCAGAAGTGTTTCACAACATCGTAGTTCCTCGAGGCAAGCCTAAGTTCCCAAGATATGTGTGAAGTGTTGTTTCTAACTGTTAACTTGCCTTCAAATATATGGTATTGACCATACTAGTTTTACTGGACACCACTATTTGAAAGCGTTAGTCCAAGGACTCGTTTCAGATCATGCTTCAACCTAAGATGGAGCGCAACTCCTATTATCAACGTCTGGTTTGCAAGTCAAGAAGTAATATATTACTGACTAGATGTAGCCAAGTTGTTAACTTTTGAAATCAAGATATTATTAAACCAATGTTGCCCAATTTTGTACAATCTAAACCCTTTCCTAATCCGGCTCGTGATGGCTTTTGTCCAACCCCCTTCACACAGTTCGCCAGAAAGTGAATAGCACTGTTGGTTATTTTGGAGATGCTTCCGGTCCTCTTTTACGTTTCACAGTTGCCGGTCTGCTCATTGCAAACAGACAAACTTTGTTAGAATCAGCCTGACGATACAGCAGACCAGTGAGATACTGAGGGAATCTTCTCCGAGTCATATACCGATCTCGATTTTTATCTCAATGGTAGTGGTTTTCCTTGTATGATACAGAAACCGAAAAGAGGAAGCCAGCTCCACTGATGTGTCACCAAAACTTAAAGTGTTATAATTTCCTTCGCAATGTTGTATGTCAATAGGTTCTTTTGATTCAGAAGACTGGTTTGTCAAGGCGACAAGATTTCGAAATCCTGCCTAGCTGTTATGTTTAGATGCGTGCATATTGCGAGATGATTTATATTCTAGAAGTAACATATCTTTATTTATATTATCGTTTTAAATACATGGTAACGGTTTCTGAACTTATTTTTACTTTGTGATATAAGAAATGATTTGTAGCGTCCAGACTTGTACATTGAACGTTGTAACCTACCTGTTACTAAACTGTAACTACAGGTGAGGAAAAGTTGTCTATTTGCTTCAGTTAATTTGTTTACAATAGTGCAAATAAGACTGACCATCTAGCAGACAAGTGAGAGATGGCGCTACTACGTAATGGTGTCTAAAGGCGGGTTATCGTCTGGTAGCGGATCTAGTCTAGAACCGTCTGACGACTCCGATATTCCGGATTCTCGTTTGGATAATCTCGTTGACGATATAATTGGTCGACTGTCTTTATACACAACCTGCAAACAGTCTGAAATGACCATAAAGAATAGAAAGGATAGACTAAAATCTGAGAGAGACCCTCCGGGAACTTCTACGAATAGTCGACACAGCTTCAGCTATAAACCATACCCTTACAATGAAGAACGCAAAGATATCCTCTCTCATCGTAATAGGCACATCTGTCCCCACCACGAGCCTAACATAAGTCAAGATATTGAAGCTCCTCACTCACCTCTGACCTACCCATATCCTATTGATACATCCATTTTTCCGTCACACGGGGCCTTCACCCATTCTCAGCGTTTACTATCCCAGCAGCATGAGTCCCTTAACACTAGCGATTGCAGACCACATGTACGGGAAAGCAAACCAAACCAAGTCATACCTCAACCCACTGTGATAGATGATGGCTCAGGCAACAATAGCGAGGATGAGTACTATTTCGGAAAGCAAGGACGAAGGGGTTCACCCGCCCAGGTAAGACTATCATTCACCTGACTTTAAGCAATAAAGCCTGCAGATGATTGTCTTGAACGGTTACTTGCAGAAAAGAAAGGATGGAAGTTAATTAAAGTAGGATCTGATGGTGCATGTCTGTTCCGTAGTGTTTGTAAGTTACTATTCCGTAATATAAATTTTACAGCTCATCAAATTTTCGGTGATGAAGAGAAGCACGATCTTGTACGTTCACAGGTCATAGATTACATGGTAACTTATCGACTCCTTTCCTCTTGAGATTTTTTTAAGGTAAAAAACAAAGAGCACTTTTCACAGTATCTGACAGAAGACTTCGACCATTATATATCACGCAAGAGAGATGCTTCGTGTTATGGAAATCATGTGGAGATCCAGGCTATCGCAGAACTATACAACCGACCTGTAGAAATATATCATGGCTCAGTAGAGCCCATCAATGTTTTTCATGCTGACTATTCCAAGGAATTTCCCATTAGACTGAGCTATCATGGCCGTGTACACTATAATTCCATAGTGGATCCTTTTAACCCGTCATTTGGTCATGGTCTAGGGATGCCCAACTACCAACCTGGAGTAAGCTCCCATAAAACCGCTAATCTTTTTCTTTAGTTGGCTGAACCAGACCTTATTGCACGCGCAATCAGGGAATCTGAATGTACCCAGCTTGAAGAAGCTATGCTTCGTGATAAATTGGCCGAGACAGAACAGGACGCAATTAATCGATGCATTGAAGACCAAGCTGTCAGGGAATCTTATTTCGATTATTTAAACCAAATCTCAATACCGGTATGCTTTATTACTATAAATGACCCATGGTAGATGGGTTCTCAGTATTTAACAAACCTATTGTTTTCTGTTTGATAACTAAGTAAATGTTGTGTGTACATACGTACGAAGTTCAGTGTTGTATCTGTCTGTCTAAGTACTGGATTCGTTTCAGAAATAAATGTTTAGTTGTATTACTGTAAGTCACCATATCATACGGTTTCTAAATGCGTGCAACGACACACTGAAACTGGGACGAGAAAAAGAAACAACCGTTTCTTACTGTATTAATCATAACAAACGTAGTTGGGTACAATAAAAAATGCCTTGAATGAAGCGACAACACAAGTCCCAGTAGTGGAGTATATATCTAATTACGACGAAACTAACAGTCTACGGGAGATTCACGTATTATAGTCGATCATTCCTACAACAAATGAAGCCTTTAAGTGTACTATAACAATCACTTATTCTGGATTTGTGAGGACTTAGTAACTCATCACTTACGTTCTTCATATTTCGGTAACCATCATGATCACAAAGTAATGTATCGGGACCCGATACTAGATGGATTACCTCGTAAAACTAGAGCGTCTGATTGTGCAAAAGGAAAGTAATGGTTATGAAGTTGGGAAAAGTTTGACTGTTCACCAACTTTAGGTACCTAAATGCCTATCGGCACCGTTCTCTTACTCCTGAATTCTGGATTGTTTTCTCTATCGTATTAAGTACTTTGAGTAGATTGGTGTTACAAAGGTGAAATAATCCAATCACTTGTAGTTGTTGGCTGTTGTTTGCTTGTAAGGTAAGGAAGCAGTTTGTAATAATGTTCATGCAGGAAATCCACACTGGTTATGTGATCTACACTGTGGGTGCAAATGTACCTCTTTTCAGAATTGCACCCTGCACAAATTATTTACTAATGTTTATTGACATTCGCAAAAAAATTAATTTACCAAACTTTTTTTGTTACTGGCCTTGGATGCTGATAAATTTCTTATCGCGCAGAAAGTCAAGGATTCAGCTAACTCTCTTCCTTCTAAATCCGACCATATGAACGTTCTTGGTGACCAACAAACAGTAACACTGACCTCTGAACTCCCGGCATGTTTAGCAAGGAATTTTGACGTGGCATCTTCCTCAAAAGTTTCAGTTCCCGATTCAAAGCTATCTGCGAACAGCAATCCAGTAAATGAACCACTGCCTAGTTCATCTCATTCTCAAACTGATATGGGTGTGCGTCATATCCCACCCTGTATGCTAGGTGAGTGTCAAGTCCATTTTGCCTATTTAATATGTCTATATTCATTCTTTGTGTTCTAACCTGAATTCATCATCACCTTTATCTTTTTATTTTTAAGTTTATTTCACTAGATTCTATTCCTTAAATCATATCTTCGAACCCTTATCTCCCCGATTATTGCCAATACTTTCACTACCTCTACTACTATGGGATTTGAATTGACAATTACATCTGCTTTTGTGGTATGACAACTTGAACTGATGTACTTACGTACAAAGTTCTGCGTTGCTGTTGATTGATTGATTGACTGATTGACATGTGGTCAGAGTTTTTTTCTTAAGGATATGCTTGAATTTCGTTGTCTATTGCTCATGATGTTATTAAGTAGATATAAATAATGTAGTCTGGTGCAAACTTGAGCGTTAAAGAATGCCTCCTGAGCAATTCTTATATCGGTACTAATAATGCCTATGAGTTAACAGTAATATCAAAGCGACCCACACAGAATGTATAGATGCCAAAGTGACCGATCAAATGCAGTCCTAAACATCAACGGAAAGATTTAAATAACCAATACAAATGAATTTTCTTATAATTTTTGAAAGTATTTGGTCCTGAGAAACTCACGCATCAAAATTTTGAGTTTAGTATTTTACCTGCTGTCAATTTCTGTTCTCACTAGCTCGGTGGAATTACTTGGGCTTATGATAAACTGGCTCAACTGATTTCATCTACATACCCTAAAATAGCTGTATTTACCGTCAAGTTAAAAGTTTAATGCTGTTAGTGGTATTTGTTTAACTTATTGAAACGTAATATTGCTTTTTCTCCTTGAGCTGCAGAATAGATCGAAATTTAGTAGCAATGTTAATAAAAAACGTTTAACTTTCGAAACATGGTTCGAAGACTGTGGGGAGGTGTATATAGAAGGATACTAGAATTCAGGATCAACAGGAAGATAGATGTTAAATGCATGTATCACTGAATAATTCTGAACCATGTCACCTAGAGTAACCAACCATTAGTCACGATTATTTCGCGCACCTCAACCAGGTAAGCTACAACCGTCGATCAGCGTACTTCAGATCAACACTCACTGACTCCAACGGCTGATACCTTATTTTGGTCTAGCTACCCCTAGCTCTCTCTCAACTGAATTTCTTTACGTAGTATCCACTAGCTGGAAGTAAAGTTAAATACATAATGTTATCAGCTACCAATGATGTATATGTTTACAGAATGGCCGCTTGTTCTTGAAGTGCAACTCTGAATCCGTATTACGCCTTAGTGTTTGTTAGACTCGTTCCGAATTCTTGTCGTCTTTGTAAGTTCATCATCTGAGAGTAAATATCAAGAAACATTAACTTTACTAAAGATGCCTTAAGAGTTGTGTATAAAGTTGCGGCTTCGAGATGAACGTTTTTATTATTGATGAGATCACAATCGTCCTACCCAGCAATAGATTTCGTAGACACCCTAGGTAATAAAGCACTAATAGGCCAATAACTGGTCAAGTCCCCGAGTTTTACAAGGTAAAAGTAACTTTTTGACCAAAGAACTGGTCATATTATTTAAGACTATACCAAACTTGGTGTTCTGTTAGCCAGACGCATAAATATTGACGATAAAACTTAATGATTAGAACTGAACCCTTTCAACTAACGAGCGTTCCAGACTGGGCTCTATTTGCACTTCTGCTTGAGCAATCGGCTAGTATTTTTATGTCTTCGAAAATGTCTCAGGCCAGTGCAAGAACTAGTACTGTATTGGATAGGATTATCTCGCGTGTATTATTGCGGATTGTCATACGGTGTAGTAAGTGGAAATCAACCATATGTAGTGACGTCAGCAGTGATTGATAACTAAACAAATTTTAGTATTGACGAAACTGACAAAAATTGAGAAGTGATTAGCGTGAAATAACATCAAGCTACAATTTTTGAATGGTGGATTTTAAGCTGTCAGTCCAACTCAAAAGTTTCCATTTTCCTTTTCGTCAAACCAGTCCAGAATTTCATGGGCTGGTGGTATCGCTCGATTATTTTAGAATGAGATTGTTATTGTACGGATTCCCTAGTAATTTTGCTTTCAGCAACTTACCAAGTAGTATCTGCCGTCATGATATGGAGATTGTATGGAAGAGGTAATGGACCGATTATCTGTTAACATTTTGCTAAATGGTAGCAGAGTGATTTGGTGTAGCTACTTGATCCGATAGACATCCGAAACTCTATGTGGCTTGTTACTAACTGTTTTTCATCCTTAATTATGTGTGGAAGGGTTACCAAGTAATCTATAATTACGGTAGTTTAGCTGTATTTCATATATATATACATATATATATATATATAATTTTTCGATATATCTCTTCATACTCAGCCAACCGTTGTTTCTGTTTTTATAAACTACTCGGTTCTGTGATCAAATCGTCATTGCGAGTACCCCTTATTCATCAGTACTTTTCAAAGTTAATTGTTCAATCATCTTGTTTTGTAGAATCTTTCTTTTTACTTCACTGCAGACAGAACTTATAAGAACATATGTTCCAGTCAGTATAGGCAAGCTCGACCCCCGCGTCAAGTTAGCAGCTACGGTCGGGTCACTTCCATGCACTAGGTTTTGTGCGCCAGAACGATAAAACCGAATTCATTTCTTAATATTTTGCAATGTTAAGGATAAAAATCTAATATTAATGTTTCTAAATAAATTTTAATACAAATTTCGGGATTTGTATTCCCATAGATTTGAGTCTTTTGCAAAGAAATTTTTCATCTCTTAATATGTTGAACATTTGTGCTACTTTTCACAGGAATGGAAGAAGACGGTTTGGTTGCTATGGTCATGGAACAGTCCAGACGTGAGTATCTCGAAAGTCTGCGTAATAAGCAGAAGTCTCGTTTTACTACTGGTCGCTTTTCACCAGAATCAGCTTCAAATCACAATGAATGTCAGTCTTTTCAGAAAATTGACAGAGAATCGCCTTCTGATACGTCTAATAACAAATCAGACTAAATCCATGATAACCCTGCTAATTCAAATGCCAACTACTAGATAGTTTTTCTTAAAAGTAAATTAAATGGTTGATTCAAATACTGAGTGTGCCTTTCAGCTTTCAGTGAATTCAATACCATAATTACTTGTGATGTATAGACGACTGTCTTTCTCTTGTTTACATGATAATGACTTCTGCGAATAAACCACCCAAGCAACCTATACTCTGTACTTCCACTGCTGACCTAGGTTTATTTGTACTAAAAATGTGTCCCTTTAGTTGCTTCCGCAACATAACTGTACCTTGTAATTATAAGCTTTTGTTTAAATCAAAATTCTTGTGTTGATTTTTGATCTTCATTCCTTCTAAAGCTTACTGCGATAAAATTATTTATGTACTTTAAGGTTCTGTCAGAACTTGTGGTTCACACTACTATACTAGATTTTTCTTAAGCTGGGTAACAACATCCTTATTTATGTAGCCACCTGTTAGATTTAAAACGTTGATTTAATAATTTAAAAGATGGTTCGGTTCATTTTCATTTAATTTTGTTTAAGTTGTTCCCTTGTCATCAATGTTTTCCTGCTGTTCTTAACGTTGTATATAATAACATTAATGCAACTGAAACACTGTTCCGTTTGGTGATATACTTTGTACTTATTTTAATTTCTAGTTGTTTGAATTCTGCCGGGTCCTGATCACTTGTCCAGTAGTTTTTTAATAGAGTTTACTGATGTAAATAGCCAATTTTATGTAGCTGCAAATAAATAGGAATAGTATCAAAGTTTCGTTGATTCACTAAAGTATCAAAATATGAACTGTTTCATCCCAGAAAATTTCAAAATTGACTGAATATCAGTTTATGTTGCAGAAATATTCAAGTCATTTTTACAGAATGAGCTTATGGAAGGAAGTTTATTGTTTCTATAAATATGAACATTCTTAAATGAAATTTAATATAGAACTACAAGAGCTAAGCACTTGGTGTCCAATAATATTAGTTAACTATGAAGAGTATAGAAGTCTTTTCTAAATTAAGAGTTTCAGTATAGTTTCTATGTCTCGAGTTCATCCTTTCTCGATTTTATTCCCCATCGTCTAATCTTTCTAACCATAGCTGACGCTCTTGTCACTGATAAGGAAGTGGCGGTGCGTATCACACTGATTGTAGGTAAGGAAACCGGATCGATACTAGACTCTGTGGGTGGAATAGCGCTTAATATAAGTATTTACATCGGATGTCACCAAAATTTCGTATTCTAGAGTTTACGCTTACATCAAGTGGATGTTACCTCCCCTTATGATGCTCTTTTTAGACATACTATACTCGGTCAGTTAATGTATTAATGGGATTATTTTATCGTTGTAATAAATAATCCTTTTACGACGAAGATTTACCAACGTGTTTGGTATTCAGGATCCGAATTTTAATTGCCTATTTTGCTTACACCTATTACTCCTCTTGGTCTTTCGAAACATTCAAAGGGTAGCACATAACCTCGAATAGCGAAGTAAAGTTGAGTTACGATCGAAAAGTCAACTTACGATTAATGTGATAGATCCGAGTGTGATAATAATTCACTTTAGGAGTACGACAAAGGTGAATAGATTGAAAATATGCGGGTGGTAATAACAAATGACTAGAAATTCAAAGCAATAATACGGATTATCAACAGCCGATCGACTATGGGAAATTAGATAGTAGAGTCGAGGCGTGATGACAGCCTGACGCGGCGCTTTTTCACGGGGCTCAGGTTTCAGATCATGAGCTGCTACCGGCTCTTCAGTAAGATTATCTGTATGATACTGTTGTGATGTAGTTGGATTTGTAATTTAAATTAACTAACTTAGAAAACTTAACATTTCTGCTTGTCAAATGCAAATCTGAGTATGATTTTAATTAGAATAAATGGTAATCTGTGTCACATAGTAATTGTATGCTGATAATAAGTGTGTGAAGTCTATCTAATCTAATTGAGTCAAACCTGGTTACTTGACTCATCATCACGGATGTCAACAATCGACAGAATGAATTCGCAGGAGTGCACGGAGGACAATATAGTGAGGAATGCTGATCATGACATTTTAAGTTTACACGGAGCTATACTTAAGCATTCAAATTTCGCCAAACATTTCTCAAGCGCTTTCAAAACACTTCTATAGACTATTAATTAGTTCAAAATAACTACTTGAGTAGGGTTATAAGAGTAACAATTTATTATCAGATCCTATGAAGTACAGTATTTATTGGAAGTAGACGTTTAGAAAACTAATTTTTAATTGGCCGTAGGGTAGGGGTACACGACAAATCGAACACGTTTCATACCATTAGAGATGTCCTCTATCCAATGCTCACGTCTGTTTATAGGACCCTTTTTGGTACTCGCCCTTGTCAATGTTAATCGTTTCTAAATACTCACAACAAATTATTATCGATCACGTACTTCGCGAAATTCTGAGTACTTATGAGTAGTAAATTAATGACAGTAAAATTTTATAAAAAAGGTAAACGAAACGGATTCACAGACATTGTGCAAAAGCCTTGTTTATTATTTTCATCGTAAATTTGGTTTTACCGGGCTGGTTATGTGCTTACTATCTTTTCAATATTGTAGCCTCAAAAATCCTATCTTGAAAGAAACTCTGAGATTTGGAGGTGTCTATTGAAACAAGCGGACCCAACATCAAAAAGTTTGTCATTTGGATATAGAAGAATCTAAACATCTAGAAAAAATGTGCAGAAGCTGAACACTTTTAATTCGCTAGTTTATCACTTATTGGAATTCGTTCACCGACGATATAATAAATAAGTTTCAGTTAAGAGTTCACAACCGGATTGCAGCTAAACATTATTCTGTTCTGTGTAAGAAATAAAAGTCCTATGATATCAGTACGTATTTTTGAGGAGCAGCAGCCAAATCTTTCCTAGTCTTCTAAATGAGATCCTTTTCAAATTAGATTAAAAAACCAGGTTCTGCAATATTGTAGTTGAAAGACTTACAAAAGAAATACATACAACGTATAATGTGTCTATGCTTGTCCAGTTAGAGATTGTTGTGAATTATCATCAGAATAGTCAACATCGAGTGCTGTTCCTCCTCTCATTAAATGTCGTTATGGATAGGAACTGAAGTAGTTAAGTACATCGATCAATTCAGTTATTTAAAAGTTTCAAACTTGTTGTTGGCTATTGTTTGATGAAACTCCGTTACAAATTTAGAAATCTCGACTTACGTTGTCCAACGTGCGCACTTGTGAAGTAGGTGAGTTATCTGTTTAGTAACTAAAGAATAAGTATATGACTTTGTAGATCGTTCTGTTCCACTTCTTGGTTATGCAGCATAGACTTTTAAAGTAGGTTTGTCGAGACTGTAGTCAACAATAATGAGCTTACTGGGTAAAAATACGAATACGGACTTTGAGGTTGTGAATTTACATTGAACGATGTATATTGGACATGCAAAATATGCCCGACCACTGTTTCCCCTGACACTCAATGTTTGATAGTGTAAAATTAGGTTTGAACAATGCTCGAGGTAGCATAAACCGATGATTTTAGTTTACGAAGTCAGTAGATACAGACTACTTGATTGCCATTCTGTTTGATAGTCACTATTTAGTGGTTAAAGATTTTGAGTGATGTGGCTCATAATTGGTGTTTTCATTTTTTTATTATTCTCCGTTGGATCCTACTATCTAGTATCCTTCTTTCACACGAACTCTCTCCGTTAATCCTAACAAACCAAAATTTCAATGCCTAATCTTTCTCATTATCATTGCTATCATATTATTTTGATTTATTAACTATTCATCTTGGTAATTTCATCTCATTGTGTATAGTAGTGTGATTTGCCAACTCAAACAAAAAGTACAATTTTACCAGGTTATACATTACTTATAACTGACTGATCTCACTATCAACATTAATATTTAAAGATTAATTAAAAATTAATTACATATCTTAATCCGTCATTAAAATAATTGATAATTTCAGGTGAATTCAAACAAGACTTGAAAGAAAAAAAAAAAACGATTCATGTAAGTTTTATTTTCAACAACTATTTAATAAATAAAATTATTGTTTTTTTTTTTGTGAAAAAAAGTTAAACAAACAACAATATTGAAGAATTGCAATTTCAATAAAATATTTGTTTTCGTTTTTAATCAGCAAAATGAATCTTACATTTTTTTTTGTTCAAAAATAAAAACAGAATTTATCTTAATGCATTGTTTGTCTTCAATTTATATGTAAAAACAAAGTAGACTGTAGATAGAATAAAGATTGTCTAGGGCTTTTGATTTTATTAAAATCACATGAGATTCAGCTTTCGTCATAATTTGAAACCTAGAAATTATTTTCTATCACCTATTTTGATGAAATATATGTAAGGAATGTTTAGTTTGATGAAATGATTTAAGATAAACTCAAATATTTCATATCACTTTTAAAGAGATTTTTAACACCTTAAAAACTCATTGTTTATAAAAAAAAAATGTCGATTATATGAAATGCTAATCATGTAGATGATTGAAACAATTCATTGTTGATACCTGAAATAAAAAAAATTCAACATTTCATTATATAGCGGTGACTCAAGTAAAGTACTTATTGTGTCTTATTTAGAAAACTAAAACTAGTCTACTTTTATCTATCAGTAAATATGGTCAGAATTTGTTTAGATATTTTAGTTGTTGATATTATATTTCAAGGTTACGTTTAATTTTTCCACGGATTAGGAGCCATAAATTATCTGTCCAAATATATTGATTCTGTCAGGGACGTTGGATCCCCAGAACTCGCTTGATAAATGTCTTATTTTGGTTTTCACGTTTGCTAGCACCGGCTGATCAGTTGGCCTTGAGATTTCAATTCCCACCAGGAAAATCCATGGTTGTGATTGGTTGCTGTGTATTTTAGTGGGCTATTTTTGTGACTGTCCCCACGACGCTTCTAAGATGTATAAATAAACGAGAGATGTATGTTTGATTGTACTGTGATTGCTGGGTGTTTGTAGAATACACTTTCTACGCTTACAAAGCCTTTTTACTTCAGCTTGGGATTCAAGGTAGCCTACCTGGACGCTGGTATGAGTCTCGTTCGCGTTTATCGGCTAAGTGACGAACATAATAGATTCGCAATTCATTACAGGTACTTTAGTTTGATGAACACTTACAAAAAATGATGATAAATTTGATTCATATATATGAGTTTTTATTTGATTCTTTAAACAAAATCAATCATTTAGGTACTTCTATTTATTTTATCTGGAACAATAAAATTAAAATTTTTATTTAAGTAAACGATGCTTGATAATTTTTTCTGTCATTGAATTGTTTTATGCAGAAAATAAATTATGTCATGTTAAGCATTTTTTTCCTCACTATTTATTTATATTTCTGTCAATATTTACATAGATGTAAGATGATTTGGTAGGATAACATTGTTGTACGTCTATGTAGTTTGGTTCAGCATCATAAATGTTGTTGAACAATAGTCACATGATATAACGCATAGACTGAAGTTATCAAAGAAAAGGTGTTGAGTTATAATTCAGTGGTCTAAATGTAACGCGCTCTAAGTGATAAGGTTGTGAATGCTGAGAAATTCCAAACCAGAACGGAACTGATGGTCATTGATCCATGATTTGTAAATGGTAGCAGTCAACATGCAAAGTAAGAAATCTACGATTATCAATTACTAGCTAGATAATTTATATGTTAAGTGAGTAAATAGAATGGGATGTTGTTCACTCCAAAATTTTTAATTAATCTGTAAAAGTATTT